GAACGATTCTAGCCCTAAACATTATAGAGTGGGACCGACACATTATAAATACAAGTACTTGCCTGCATGACATGCATGGAAAAAAAGCATGGATTTGAAATCATGTGTAAGCTAACACTCTCCCAGTGAAATGAAATTATTCTGCATCGAAGGCCACCACGCTTTATCTGCAGAAATCCGGCAAGATCCATGACAAATTGAAAAGTAACAAAAAGCAGCCAGCTCATGCTTGATATTGCAATGCAGTCAACCCTCATAATATATTCCGCCATTAAACAGCAAACAAATATTAAATATAACCCATAATTATAGTTATATTAGTTGATAATGGCAATATATTGGAACTTGAGATAAGAAATGTATATGATAATTGTCGCCATGAAGTAATGATCACCTGAGTATTCATTAACGCCAGTATATGTAATATAAGTGTTATATCGAAGATCATACAAATACTGGGTCATTGATATTTATATTCTTGTTCTCTGTTTCATAAAAGAGAAACAAACGTCTGCTATGAATTTCTTTTTTTTATAACTCAATGTTGACACGTAGATCTTTCATCAAAAAACAATGGTGTTTATTATTGATAATGCCTTTTTAAAAGAGTTTCACATGTACTACAGGCTCGAGCATTGATAATGAGATGGGAGAGAGTGGGATATTGCTGTAAAGTTGTGGAAAATTGATGATATTAATATCCTGTCATATATTCAGATAGAGAGCTGGTCATTAGTGTCAATTTCAATACACATATATAAACATGAAGCATAATAAGTAGATTCTGTGGAGTCCTTAATTCATGATGATAATTCGAGACAACAAACAATCTATAAGTATATCAAAACTATAAATTAGTGTCAAAGAGAGAAACTCAAAGCCTAAATGCTTTAGTTATGGCAATAATGCTGATCATAAGAACCACATACCAGGTAATGACTCCAAATGCTGCAGTGACCTATGACCTATGTTACACAGTATCCGATTTGTGGGGGTCAAAAACAACTTGGTCACTGTGCATATCATCCAACATGCACCTTACAAAATAATTTGTCTGACTAGTACAAGTGGCGATTCATGTATTTCAAGATGGTAAAAAATACGACGCATTTTTGTAGTCACACAACACTGGCTGCCATGCTTTCTTTTCGAAAAACTGCAAAAAGCACTGCACAAACACATACAAAGAGTGTCTTGAATGTTGTGAGGGGTCAGTGACAACGAGACAGTGAATAGTTATAACTTACCCTTTATTAAGTTGTTGCATCTGTTCAGCAGCTCTCTTCCTTCTGCTGCTCGTGCAATTCATTGAAACTTTTCAGTTGAACGTCTTTGCAATTTTCAAATGTGATATAGTGAACACGTTCAACATGAAGGGTTAACAATGAATCCTAAACTTTACATTGGATATTGATCACATTAACATATCATTTATAAAACGCTCAAACACCTTATAGATTGGGTTACTTTATGTACCTAACAACCAATTAAAGTATTACATAGCATACATGTGGTACGTTTTTCACCCCTGTGGTACAATATCCATTACAAATGTATGAATACAGACAAATACAAAAGTACCATATGTTGTGAGTGTTGTAAGGGGTCACACCACAGTTCAGTGACTAAATACAGCTTAACTTTATTAGAGTACCGAGCCTGAAAGGCTAGGCCATTATTATTATAGTTCGCTTTTGTTTCTTCTTATTCTTTTTCTATTTTTCACCAAGTTGGTTGCGACATTAGCTAGAGCTAGAAACCTGGTACTTCGCATGCTGAGTGAACCAATGGAAACTGCTGTGAATAACTTTCAAAATGGTGAGCAGACACTTGGTTTGACAGATATCTTGTTTATTGTATTCCTTGTCGCTTTTGTATTCCTTGTCACTTAGTTAGTTTCAAATCAAACTAGTTGAGGACCTGAAACTAGTTTACAATGTCAAGTCCTGTGTTTGGTCACATTACTTTTGCCGCAATATTTTTTTCTGAAAAATGGCTAAAGAAATTTCAAAATCTATTACAGTAGTACACATAAAGATTTTAACATCTATAAAATTGGATTTCTCTTAAGAGAATCATTTTATATTGATGCCACATTTTTCCTATTGTTTTTAAATTTGCATCTTTTCACTGAACTCCTTCAGACAGAATAAAAATAATTCTAATCAGTGATACGGTTTCGGCGCCATCTTTGATTTTCGTCAAAATCAGTTAAAAATGTCTGCATTTGATTCTCATGGGTGATTTGGCATCATGTAGGATGTAATATGTAAACCGCTTACAAGGAAAATTATTTTTTTTTAGATCAGTCACATAATCTCATCAATATGCATGACTTTTGCGGAGTTCCAAAATAAGACCCATGCTTTGATAATGCATCTAGTTTCAAAGACCAATGAACATTATCATTATGCAAAGTATGGCTGATTATTGTTTATTGAAATTAATAATCCCCATAGCCGTTTTCCAATATAGATACATTGTAGTATGTAACAAACTGTATAACTCAACAATGAAATAACAGAATATATATATATATATATATATTTACATTATTACTAATGCATTGCAATACAACTAATCCAAATTGAAAGAAATTACAATATAAAATATTCCATCAGTAATACTTCTCAAAGACGTATTCCGCAGTCAGTGTTATTTGCGAAAATATTTGTTTATAATTGTATAAACTTGCTTGCCAATACCCTCCTCATTTAGATATAATCTGTACATATTTTAATGTAGAAACATATAAAAATGAAATATTAATTATTTTATTATATTTCTTTATATAACAGTAATCAATATTTGTCCTTGCTAGAATGTTCATTTTTTACAGCCGAAAACATGTTGCTTGCTTTTTGAGCAGAGCAGATCGCCAACCAGCTTGAGTGTGGGCACAAAGTTACCATTTTAATTTTTGATATCTTTTTTTCATTACCGAGTAATTTGACCCCAAATTTGGAGTCACTGTTCACCAAGAATTGCTTTTTAACTCTTCTGTGATTTTTTTGGCTTGGCTGATTTTGTTCATACTTGACAGGCAGGTCGTTACAATACTTTCGCCCCAAAATTATTACCTATTACCAGTCTTGTAATATCAGTGTTTAAATGATCATGCTTTTTATTTTGGCTACGTTGCCTGCACACCTGTAAGAGATCACCGACGCCGACATTGTTACACTGTATCAACGTAACTTTGAACTGTGAATGCTGCCGTCAATCTAGTAAATACTATTGCAAAACGGTTGGAAATAATAAATTTAACAGCAGATTACGTCCTAGACTGAGTGTTATTTTTTGGCGAACTTTGTATACGGTTCCCGGTGCCTACCGTGGCAACAACCGAAAACATGTTGCTTGTTTTTTGAGCCGATCGCCAACCAGCCTACCGGCTTATTTTAGTATAAGCCAGTAACAACTTGTCAATAATTATGGGAGGATTTGTAAGCGCTCATTAATGGAATACTGTGCGATGACGCTATTTTCAGGGCCTAACTGATTCAGACTCCTATATTGACTATGCCCCGGGTTGTTTACTAGCTCCATGCTAGTACCAACCTACTTACTTGTCAGTGTTATATACAGAACACGTCAGAATAGTGAAAAAAGTCAGCTAATGTCAGTTGCCCGTGCCATGAGAGCCGGCCACAACACCAAAACAATCTGTCAGCCTTCGCCGCCCACAGCATCGATATGATTTTATATTGCATAGAAATGAACACTAAATACAGCTATCCCGGTCAGCAATCGACTCATAAATCTTAGTGGTCCGTAAGTGAATGTTGTCAAGTGTTTTAACGTACAGCGACGTAAACATTGTTGCTACAATTTTGGGCTTGAACATGTTCTATATTCACTCAAAACAACAACGAACCTGAAACAAAAATAACCGTCCGATCTAAACGTCGACCTGTGTCTATGAAAATCGAGTCTTATCACCCTTGTGTTTCCGATCGACAGAAAGTCGGGGCCAATCTACCATGATTGTTCGCTTATCATGAATTCACCAAGGTCAAGGACGTTTTTAAACGTGAATTTAACGACGAACGTTTTTGAAACGAATCAATGTTCTGGTTATCTCTGGTGCGACTACAGTTTTTAGAACAAACTTGAGGGACTGTAAATTGCACACGCGAATTTCCCAACAAAGGTTTAAATGTTTTAGTTGTATGTGGTGTGGCACTGGTGTGGAAAGCGGTCGAATAAAATGGCGACAACCTTCGAACGCATTGTTATGCTAATTTGATTTCCGGCATGTTAGTTGACAAAGAAATTAAAGATTTCTACGTGGATTTGAACCAAACTTTTATCGGCAAGACTCAGAATACGACTGTGACAGCCACTGAAACGTAATTGAAGGCAAATGAACACGTCAAGCAAAAAATACTTTTTCCAGTCGTGACGTAAAATGGAGGCACATACCATTTTGACTCTTGAGGGGAATGAAAATCAGTTGATAAAATAAAATAAAATAAAATAAAATAAAATAAAATAAAATAAAATATTAGTTGAGTGTGTAAATAGCGAAAGCCGGGTTACAGCGAAAGTCCGGTTGAACGTGAATCAACTGCAAAAGACTTGTGACCTCTTGCAAAACCGTTGATGATTGTCACCGGTATGATGGGGTTCAGTGCATTATGCAAACATTGACTGTCTCGTCTTGTTCTTGTATACAGCTAATGAACCGAATAAATTAACATGGTTGGGGAGGTTTAATCGATGCAATACCTCTCATTTATCACGCAATAACAACACGAATTACAATAATGTCTAGACACTGTCATCTGCACGCTATTAAATCTCCGATCACGAATTTAAGAAGAGTGTTCTTACGAAAACCGTCGCTTCAAATGTGAAATTAACACAAATTACCAAGAAAAACATAGGGTAACATTTGCTTCCGGTGATGGTACGCAACGTTACCTTGCGTTGTGACCAACTGATGGCCAGTTTGATGTCATTATTATTAATATTATTATTATTATTATTATTATTATTCATTTATTGCATTTATCTGTGACTAATCTTAAAATGTTCTTCTCGTGCAAAGCTTGCAATGTTTGAAATTCTGTTGAAAAATTGTGTGGCGTATTGAGGTCGTTCACTTTCCTACTTGGTCCGTAGTAATGATATGATACGTTGTTGCCGTTCTGATCAAAAGCATATGGGTAAAATCCATAAACATTCACATGTCCACAAAGACTTAGTGCTGCAATGATAGCTCTCATTCCCGTTGTGGGACGTGCCACCTTGAGTAACCTGAAAGAAATAATACATTCAATTTAGTCTGCACAATATACAATTTTACAAACACATCAAATGAAAACAAAATTAAACATTAATATTACGAAAGTACCAAAATGATGGACAAAACACTCCTACCAAAACTTTCCTTAGCTATGAAGCGTTCTGTGATATAGTAATGCAAAGAATGTCCTTCACATTTCATATGGATTTAATTGGTTGGCGCCAGTCAGATACTATCGTTTAAAGATTTGTTCTCATAATATGACGAATGCCTACACAACCAGTTCTTTGTCTGAATGACACTATTTGCACCCATCTACGTAATTTTGACGTCGCAGTAGAACGTTGTCGATAGAGGGCACGGTATTTTTATCAGGTTCATTGTGCTTATTGTGCATTGAGGTTGCGTGGTCAAACGTAAGCCTATAGAACAAGGTATTACTAGTATGTGTGAAAGCTAATGAAATGCACGTTGAACTCCTTTCTCTACATTTTCAATAAGTATTTTAATTGGGTATTATGTTAAATATTGTTTTATTACTGGTCTTTTATCTCAGAATGGGGAATTTCCAAGACAACAATACTGCACACGGGGTATATATTGGCGATTTCTCTCAGAGATAGGATTGCCAATGATAACTACGCCCGCCTGTCTGTCTGTCTGTCTGTCTGTCTGTCCGTCTGTCGGTACACATGTATGCATTACATTTTCAGTATTTATTTCCTGAACTGATATTGCCAAACTTGACAGGCTGGTCACACATGCGATCCACTTAGGTGACAACATTTAACTAATCTTGATCTACTGTTGCTATGAAGACTGCCAAAATATGATTGTTTACAATCCCTAAAGTATCGCCTATAAGCTATTAGCGTACCAAAGTTTATTTACAAAAACATTTTAGATGTCATCTGCTGACTTAAGTTTTTATGTAATCAGTGTGTGCCCTTCGTTTGCTGAATTGTTCGAGTTACGGACATCGAGATACAAAAACATAGTTACAAAATTGGCCACGCCCATATTTTAGAAACACGCCCACTTTTGCGAAACTATGCCCAAATTGTAACTCGATTTTCAAATAACAGCAGAACTTCGCAACATCAATTTCTGTTTTGGTTGAACGTCCACATTTATTAACTGGAGCTTTAATTAACAGTTAACCGAACTTCGAGTTACGGGCACAAACATTGTTTTGTTTAACGATGTATGTTTTCCGTAATTCGAAGTTCGATTAACTGATAATTAAAATTCTAGTTACTAAATTTGAACATTCAACAAAAATATAAATCTGTGTTGCCTGTAATGCGAATC